GTTTTTATCTTATCTTCGGTAGGTCTGATGCCTTCGGCAGTTATTCGATGTCCTAAGAATTCAATGGAAGGGGAACCAAAAATACATTTCTTTGGATTGATAACAACTCCAAATTGTTCAAACCTTTGAAATAACAGGCTTAAGTGTTGCATATGTTCTTCCATCGATGAGCTGGCAATTAAGACATCGTCGATATATACAAAGACGAAATCAAGACCTTGGGTAACTTGGTCCATAAAACGCTGAAATGTTTGAGCAGCATTCTTTAGTCCGAAAGGCATTCTCAAGAATTCGAATAATCCAAAAGGCGTGATAATTGCTGTTTTTGCAATGTCTTCTGGAGCGACTGGTATTTGATGATATGCCCTGACCAAGTCAACTTTAGTAAAAATGGTCTTTCCATGTAAGGTCAAGGAGAAGTCGTGGAGATGAGGTATAGGATAACGGTCTGGGACCGTAGCGTTATTCAAAGCGCGATAATCTCCACATGGTCGCCAGTCATGATTAGTTTTAGGTACCATATGCAAAGGTGAAGACCATGGACTGTTAGATGGTCGTATGATACCTAGCTGCATCATATGTTCGAATTCCGACTTAGCTGCTGCTAGTTTATCGGGTGGTAACCGTCGTGGACGTGCCTTCACAGGTTGTCCTGTTGTGATGATCTTATGCGTAACTGTATGAGATATATCTTCGACGTTGTATGATGGTTTAAGGATTTTAGGAAATCGTTGCAATAAAGCAGAGAACATTTCACTCTCCGGCTTTTCTATACAGATGCTATGAACAGAGTAGTCACATGTAATACCGTGGATCTTGAGTTGGGTGCAATTGTCAACCAGTTTTTTCTTGCTGATATCAACCAACAGATTGAAGTGACTTAGGAAGTCTGCACCTAGTATAGCGTGACGTACGTCAGCTACTATGAAGATCCATGTGAAACGTCGGCGTAGTCCTAGGTTTAAAATCATTGACTGTTCGCCATACGTCTGTATGTTGGTTTGGTTGGCAGCACGAAGTGAAAGTTTTCCAGGTATTTTGGCTGATCGCCTGGATAGTGAGGGGGGAATAACACTGACCTCGGCGCCTGTATCTACCAGGAATAATGTGCCGGTAGTCAAATCCCTCACATAGAAAAGGCGACTGGGGTGATTGCCAGTAACAGCCGTCGCCATTACTGTCTGGCTGGGGAGTTTCCCTGAGATGAGTTACCACTGTTGTACATACACGGTCGAAGACACTTCAGGGCATTATGCCCATACCTCCTATGATACCAACAAATGTTACGGCTTTGAGACGGTGTTCTAGAACGTCGTCTAGATCTTGATCGCCGTTGCTTGGATACCGTATGTGACTGGTTCCTTTGTGCTCGAAGCTCGGACACTTCCAGTCGTAAGTCTTGCATTTGAGATGTTAACTGGGAAAGTAACCAAAACAGTGGTGCGTCCTTCATAGATGTGGAATCCGGCAAGGCGGTAACAGAAGAGTTCTGTATCACTTCGCCTTTATGAAGTTCTTCGGGAAAAGTGACACGTTTATATGGAGCCATTGTCAAAAAATATTTAAGTATAGAGATACACAAAATAGCAAAACTTGTGGTAACAAAAATTAAAGCAATGCGAGTTTATAAGGCCAAAATAGCAACAAAAATGTTCAAAACGAGTTAACTATCGAAACAAAAAGGTTCGAAAACGGGTTAACCATAAAAAAAGGTTCGAAACGGGCTCACCAATTATTGTGGTGGACCTTTCACTCGGTTAGCTTAGTTACCCAAATTCAAATAGAAAATAAAGTACCAAATCAGTTTAGTTACGGGAAGAATGTATTAAAGTTTGGTTACTTGGGTTTACAAAGATCCAAAGTCCACAATAAACGTAATAGACTCCAGGTGCTGCGGGAAGACTGCTCCAGTACTAATTCTCCAATGTTGACGTTGCCGGAGGTCGACCAAAGTACGTAGGAAGAACTACGGTGCTCCTGCAAAAATTTGAGATAGAAAGCAGGTGATTAAAATTGATCGACGGCAGTTGAGATGGTGGAGAAGACGGAGAGTCGAAGGCAGAACTATATATTTATTCAAAACCCGAGGTAAAGTTCAAAGTACAGAGTTTATGGTTAAAACAAAGTGATGTACAATATGTTCATTATTTACATAGTAGTAAAATTTGGATAAGTTTATTTTTGAGGACTCCACAAACTAACGATCGTTCAAGAGCGAACTCAAGCTAGTCACCAGCAGTTATTACTCTACATTATTAACACCGGAGTATATCCTGCACTTTGGGTGATCAGTATATGTCTTGATTTGTTTCTGCTTTCAGCCTGATAAATACTTTGGAAGTGAGAGGATAATGATATTATTCGGTCCATGCAGGTACATATCTGTCATAAGGGTGTGGATAATTTATTACTTAAATTACGTAGACTCGGCTTTTGGCATAAAAATCAATTGGAACAGCCTGCTAATTAGTCAGTAAATGTAGCGAACATACACTAAGAAAGATAGAAGCATTATCTTCCCATCAACAAACACTTGCACTCGTACACAGCCTTTCCTCAAAATCGTCCACACCCTTTTATATTCTTAAAGCACTTCCCGTAAGATCCCGAAAGGACGACCAATTGCTGTTATGGGAAGAGGGAAGCTACGGGGAATTTTAAAACAATTTGTGAACAAATAAACGTATTTATTTGCGTTCGCAGCGTGGGAAATGTATTGATAGGGAAGTAAACAGAGCACAAAGACGTTTGATTAAAACGAGGGATAAAATATTCCGACTGAAAAGACATTACTTTCAGTATTTAACGAAAATACATACAGAATGACATTCATCCTCCCCACAAGTCTTGTTCTATATTACATTATTTTTACCAACTCGCCTCCTAGATTTTGCTTTTGTTTTCCAAGCCTGTCATTTTGCATCGTACTTTTACCCCATCTTTAGAATTAAATGGCAATTTCAAGTCCTAGAAGCCTTACTTCTGTTGAGCAAATCATGTGTACGCCAAAAAAACTGGCATTTTTTGCTTTCTAAGTTCAGAACAGCTTCGTCAGTCAAGGTAAAAAGTAACCTGTCCTGTAATCTAATGTCGAAACACTTCCATAATATCTGGAGGTGAATGATGGAAAATGAAAAGTTTTAAGCAACCAACCCATTGGACATTTCATTCATCCTATCCCCTATCTTCAAGGGTGGTGACCGGCAGAATGTGACCAGTTACAGACCAGTTGCTCTACTTCCAGTGGTATCGAAGATATTGGAAAGTCTCATTGACGACCACATGAGAAAATACTTCGATGGGACTAACCTTCTTCACGAAGCACAGCACGGTTTCAGGAGGGGAAGATCCTGCGTGACGAATCTTCTACTAGCCTGGAACGATTGGACACTAACCTGGGACAAAAAGGTACCAGCCCACGTGATCTTTCTCGACTTTGCGAAAGCATTCGACACAGTTCACCATGGTCTGCTCCTTCACAAAATAGGCAAGGCGGGAGTTTCTGGAGCACTTCTCGCATGGCTGACAGATTACTTAGGCGAGAGAGAATTCTGCACCAAAGTCAACCGCATGCGATCACCCTGGCACACCTCGGTATCAGGGGTTCCTCAGGGTTCTATCCTAGGGCCGTTGATGTTTTTGATTTTTATCAATGACCTGCCCCCCCAACTAAACTGCTCTGCGCTTCTTTACGCCGACGACGTAAAGATTTGGAGAGCAATAAACTCATCGGAAGACTCAGATAGATTGCAGGCTGACCTGCAAACTCTGGGAAATTGGGCTTTGGCTAACGGAATGCCTTTCAATCTAAAGAAGTGCAAAGTAGTGCAGCTTCATTCCGGCAGGTTACAGAGTGTAAATTACACCCTTGGTGGCCAGAACTTGAGTTGTGTTCCATCAGAGCGTGATCTAGGTCTTATTCTAACAGAAAAGCTAGACACCAGTGGAAATTACTCGAGGGACGTCGCCAAAGCCTACGCAACATTACACTTTATGCACAGGCAGCTGGGAGCTCTCACTCCCGAACTGTTCTTAAGGCTATACAAGGCATATGTGAGGCCACACCTTGAGGTGCATAATATCATTGCACCTCCGCTACTCAAAAGGGATGCTAACATTCTAGAAAGTGTCCAGAGACGAGCGACAAAATGGGTGATCGGCCTCCGCAACAAATCATATGAGGAAAGACTAAAGAAATTAGGTCTTTTCACACTCAGTTACCGTAGGCACAGGGGAGACCTCATCACCGTCTACAAGATCCTAAATGACCAGGCCCACCCAAATAAAAGCATCCTGCCATTAAGCGATTATAGGCTTCCACGAGGTAACCCGCTAAGGATAGCACACCAGAGACCAAAGACTCGAGTGCGATCACATTTCTTTTCGCTTCGTGTTTGCCGTCTCTGGAACGCTTTACCGGCGGCCGTGACTACAGCGCCATCTGTGGAGATTTTTAAGCGGAAGCTGGACAATCATGCAGAAATGCAAGGTTTGTGTCTCAATGGCTTATCCTCATAAAATTTGAAACCAAACTGTCAATGAATAAGCGTACTAACTAAATCCCCACGACCTATTCTGCCTTCTCTCACTCCATCTTTTCCTTATGTCACCTTTATTATTCCACTTATCTCAACCTATATTATCTACACTACAACCTATTATTATTATTATTACTATTCTGCTTTTATGACTACACCGAATGACCAAGGGGAGTTAGGTCAAACTCCATTCACGGCAGCAATACAGTCCTAACATACTGCATACTACAAACCACATCTCGACCAATCCCCGCACCACTCCTCCTGGAGTCTACCAGAGCTAAAGCAGTCGAGTGTCGGGACTTACTACGCAGAAGCTCATCGAAGATCTGGAACCTCTACCTCACAATCAAGAAGCGAGCTCAAAGAAATCACTGGTTTATACTAGCTCGTCATCAGGATATTGGATATTGGATATTGGATTCATAATTTGTAGTGAGGTTACTGTAAAGTGGTCGCTGCATGAGGTTGCGGTAGAGGATAGAGGCACAAATCAGCTGATTGCTGCAGTTTTAAGGTCGTTACTTGATCTCGTCCAAGTAAGATTTCTTGAGATACTAAATACGAAGTATTATCTGTGCATTCCAAGTTGTCTTCGATGTATTTTTTCGGATATCTAACTACCTATACATGTCTGTCATGGAAGATGAGATTGCAATATCATTGCAGAAAGATTCAGAGATGTCTAGACATAGTTTAACTTCGCTGACTTATGGCATGCTTGAGGAACATATGCATCTATCTTGAAACACTCAGTGTTGTACCAAAAGTTGTGAAGTCTCACAACTTATGTGCCTAAAAGCCAGTCCAAGAATTACTTAACATTAGTTCTTAACAAAGATATGTGATGTTTGAGACTGAGGATAGACTTCAAATCTCAATTAGTTAAGTAATACGCTGTTGTTGCATCACAAACCGGATGTGTAAGCTTTAATCTCATTATGGTACACTGGCTTTCAACTTCTTAAAGCGGTTACCATAACTAGTCCTCTCAGTACCCACATATAACCAAACACTACATTGATACTATTCGAATATCATCATGATTCCTCTCTAAAACGAATTTTTCGTAGTTTCGATTTATCTTTAGAATATACGTAATGGAGCACTTTGTTGTATTAAAACCCGATTAAGAAGAGAAATCTTACCTGCTCACCTAACCTGGTTCGGAAGTACTGGTGTAGGTGCATTTTCATTTCTTTTAATTGTAAAAAGCTTTATATACTTCTAGACTATATCCAAGATAACTATTGTTGTCTTAAAGGACTAAGAAGTACTGATCCATAGATCTATACTGAGTTTAACAAAATACCTGTAGATTGAACAGGCATTTCAAAGTGTACAAGATCACAAAAGATGCGCTTTCAGTCTCGTTTCTAAAATTCAGGAGTAAATACGTTTTAGAGGTTAATTGTTCCTCTGATTTTTCTGAACAAAACCAAGTGTAGATTGTTGGATTTGATAAGTGTATAAAATTAAAAAACATGTTTACACAACGAAGTTGCTTATCACATTCGTGTTGATTTTGTCATTTCATGGGAGAGGGTGGTGGTGCTGTAATCAGGTCAAATTCTGTTTAACTCTATCATTCCAATTCAAACAATTTGGATTCCACTTGATATGAAGTGCTTCTGTTATTATACACCGTGACTTCTAATATTTTCGTGGATTATTTTAGTATTGTCGGAATCAATTTTGTGGTCTCATCCTTTAGCGTGTAGACTTATGGCTGGCTGATAATTTTTGAAGCTTTTCTAGTTCAACCTGATTTATCGATGGTCGAATAGAGGCTCTGCGGTGTTCATTTCTTCTGATTTTGATTTCTCTCTGGCGAGGTTTGTCCGATGCATACCGCATCACATTCCAAGCAATTTATTTTATAGACACAATAAAACTGTGAATACTTTGGAATCTCGTCTTTTACGTGGAGAAAATTGCCTTGTAGTGTGTGTGTGTGTGTCTGATGTTTTGAAGAAAATTCATGTTGTGTTTATTGAGCACTCTTCTGATATCGTTTGATGTTTCCGATCTATATGAAATCACGACTATTGAGGACCATTTCTTCGACCATACCTGTCTAAGATGACATGAAACAATTGATACCTTTGCACTGATGATGTGTGATGATCCAAAGTCTAAATATTCGTTGGAGTGTGTCTTCTTCCTGAATATGGATACACTAAAATATCCGTTTTCTTTCCTCTTAACTGGACAGTCTAAAAGAAGTAGCTTACTGAGATGTGATTCTGCTTCCGAAGCAAACTGGATTATGTGATGTACATTGTTCATTTTTTCCAAGAATGAACTGTGTAGATCTCGATTTAGCACAACAAAACTACAATCAACGCAGTTTAGCCATACTTTAGGTATGAGTATGTTTGAAAAGATGTTATCTTCGAATCTATTCATAAAAACATCAACGACTGTTGGGGAAACTGGTGAACCTATAGATACACCATTTATCTGTCTACATAAATTCCCTTTAGATGTAAAATAATTACTTTCCAGACAGATTTTTTAAGCTCTTATTTATTTCACTGGTGTTCAGTAGGCTGGTGTATGTTTCTAGTAAACTGAAAATGATATCAAGACCTCCAGTAATGGGAATGCTAGTAATATTATGAGTTAATATCATAGTTCACCATAATATCTTCTTTATCAATTTCCTGGTTTTAGTTTAGTCACTAGTTGGTAATTTTGTTTTGCTTTATAATGGTCATTCTATCTTACCCTTGTTTTACATTCACCTCTTTTAATTTATTTAAAATCCTTTTTTATCGATTTTTTGTAAAGGAATGCAATTTTTCCGTCATCGACCAATTTCTAAATGCTATAGAGATTTTCGGTTAGTCACTGGTATAATTTCTAACAAACACATACACGGGAATACAACATCATCACTTGAGCAACTTGGAAAACTACAAGAAATAGCTGATTTATGGCCATCTGATACATGTAATCGAAAAATACATTTTAAAGATGAAATTAAACGTCGCATTACTGAATGCTTATCAAAGCCGCAACAAGAGTTGGATGCCAGCTTTTGGGAAGCAGAATATCAAAGTTTATCTCGTCTTCTTCAAAATCATCATCAGAACAATTATACTCTACCGTCTGGACTTGGCGGTAGTCGTAGCGAACCAGCTGTAGCAGCGACTGGAGCTGATCTAAAGGAATGCAGAAGGATTTTAAGTGAAAGTGAAACAGTCAAGAATTCTTTGTTAACACGTATCATTAGTAAATTTGTTTTTTAATTTCTTTTGTACATCGAATCAAATGACTTTTACTTTAAAAGATTTTTAAAAAGTAGAAATGAAATTACAATATTTTACACTCAACATGACTTATTTCCTTCTTTTTATTCCTTTACGCTCCTCAGTGGAATATAGGGCTTCAAGCTAGAGCTTTTGAAGTTTCGTTAACAGTGGTTCTATTTTTTACGTGAGGGGTGGTGTTGCTAGCCCCACGCCCGACCTCCTCTCTTCACCGGACTTACTACCAGCTTAGCGAGGTTTAGAAGTGCGTCGGAGGAGGAGGATTGAATCTGGGGCCATATGCGTGGTTGGCGAGCGATCTACTGCGGAGCCACTGACGCACTGATGTTTTCCTGAAAGAGTATTATTCATTACTCGTAGCGCAGAAGTGTATTTTGGATTGTGATACTTAATTGATTAAAATGAACAACTTTTTATCCGCTTTTACCTGACTGAATACACTTTGGAATGTTAAACTTAAATACCTGTCAACTTGTGTTTTATTATTGTTGCATGCCGATTGATTTTCTTGTACTATACTCTTTCATCGTATGATACTGGACGCTGTGGTCTCAAACAGTACATTAGCTAAGCTAGTGCTTCCTCCGTGGTTGTTACTAAAGTGTTTATCTCCTTCCTTATAAACTGTATTTATTATTTATTTATTTATTTGGACGCAGAAAAAAACTTGGTACAATATAGCACCAAGAAAGATGCGCCACACAATGTTGTGTGAGGGATGAGATACTGCCCTTGGGGCCCAGACCGAAACAGGTGGTTTTCTTAAGGGAACACGCCTCGAGCCTTTGACTTGGAGTCTAATCCGCAAGGCAGCGGAGCAGCGTCAGGAGCTGCATTCCCATGGTTTCCGGTGACCCATATGGGTTCATACGCCATGTGATCCGATTGAATTCTAGAGCCCATGTACCCCATGGTAACTGCTTTTAGCCTAACCGCTATCCAAACAACCTTCCTGACATGGTAGGACCTGCAGGGACATGAGTCCCAGCCAGTTTAGCTTGTTGGGTCACTGGGGTATTCAAGCCCAACCACCATGGCAAGGTAGCAGTTGTCAGCCGGGCCTTACATAAACTGGGTTGACCAATAATCTACACTGTGCTCTTGGAATTATCGCGAATTCTCATTCACTAACTAGTACCTTATTTGTTTCAGTCAGTGCGTCGGTGACATAGTGGTTAGGACTCTCGCCAACCATGCACATGGTCTAGGGTTCGATCCCCTGCCGACGCACACCTGATATCTATGGTCGCCTTGCAGATTTGGGCTGCCGATATCACATGCTGAAAATTTCATGCCTGTACCAAAAATACAGTGTGGAATCAAGCTGTAATCAAAAATAAATAATTCATATATGTGTAAAACTTGGTCACCGTAGCAGTATATAATTCCACATTAAGAATTCATCCTTAAGTGCCTTTAGTTTCAAACCATCAAGTCTTTCTGCTTTGCCTCGTTCTAGATTATAGGTAACTTTGCTTAGAGTCGGAATACTGTGTTCTGCATCCCAGTTAGCCGACATAGATTTAGGTAGGTAAGGAGTAAGAGGTGTTCACATGAAAACCTTACATCCTTCCATGAAATCTTTGGCTGTTGGTTTTGACCCACGTATGAATGTGTAGACTGTCTGTCTTCCCTTCGTATATTTCCGGTCATTATAATTCTCTTGCAGTTTTTCATTTTCTAAACTTTTGTGGGCTATATTGAGTGTGGCAACTTGCACTGCTATACATTGTTGAGCAAAGTTCCCCGTTGAAACTTTGTCTGTGCGTCTCATTCTGTCTGGAGTTGGATGGTGAGCTCTCCAATGCAGCTTCGCTAAATGAACTGCTTATTGAAATGTTTTACTCAGTATTCTAGTCATCTTTCCAACAAAGTTGTTGAGCTTCCATTGCCCTCAGAGATAAATTCACTTTTCATAGCTTTTCAAAAACCCGTATTTAATAAGCTTAGATAAGTAAATGGGTATTGCCTATTTCTGATGCCTTTTCTCACTTATTTCGCCCTTGTTTCTCACAAGGGTTCATTGTCGCTGCTAAGGATTTTTAGTCAGCTTTCACCCCTCATCATCATGTCTGGAACTTCCTTTATCTCTCCAGTTGAAACACTTCAAGCCAACTGTTATTTACTAACTTTTTGGTTGCAAGTCTTTAGTGTTGCTTCTTTGATAAACTGGATATGGTACCCTAGAATAAGTACTTCTGTCACGCTGATGTGTGTTTAGTTATTTCCTTCCTACAAACTCACTCTTGGGAATTAATCTGATGCTCACTAGTTACTGACTACAGGACAAAGTTCCCTAGAGTTCTTGTGAGAAGGTGTAACCAGTGGAGTCCAAATAGTCCGGTGTTAGGTTAGTACTCGCTGATATCATCGGCTGGCGATGGCGCTATGTTTCACGAACTTACAAAAGTTGTAATCCACAGGCCATTAGGTTCTGTCCCAGTGGCTGAATGGTCAATGAGTTCGCCTTTTAACCTAGAGGTCCTGGGTGCGTAATGCTGAATCGTCCCCGACAAAGACGAAACAACTGTATAGTACTTCCTGGTTTTCTTACTTAAGTCAGTTTCTGATGGAACTTGAAGGTTTGATCCGTTTCCTCTTTAAATTTGGATGAGGCCTAAAGCTTTATTGATAAAGATTCTCCCTAACAGCTTCATCATAGGTTCATTGTTTGATCAATGTACATCCAGGAATTCGTATACTTTCTTTGAAGCTTTCAGAGTTGTGTTAACAATCAACACTGTGTTTGTTATAATCTGTCAGAACGGACATAAGATACATCATTGGTCATTGTTTTTCAATGTGAGTCGCGAACCCGACATGGAGAATCTAATGGATCATGACGTCTCAGTTAAAATATTCATCATCGTAAAGCAACAAAAATGAAGAAGGATGACATTATCTAAAGTTCAGGAAAAGAAACATAGGGTGTGAAATTTGAAAAGAAAAAAATCCTCTGTCATATCTGACTTCAAGAAGTAAATGACAATATTCACTTGAAGACTAAAACATCAACTTTGAGTAGACTGACACGATAAACTAACTAACTGGTTTCAACATAGAACTTTGCACAAAAGTGCAGCTGCAGTTCGAGTTGCCACACTCCATGAAACACATGAAGACAGTCAAAAGAGATTCGAAAGAATAACCAAACTTGGGTCTTGTATGCGTGTGTCTCCGAAACACAACATACATCCATGGCGCGAGATACCGGAGTTCTAGCTAATGATGCATGTTATCCGATTTGGCGAAGGGTCCCTAACATTAAATGCTCGAGTATGAAGTTGGCTGCGTGATTTTAGGAGACTATCAGAAGTGGTTTTGCCAACTCTCTTAGCTATAATTGGTCACGGAGTGAACAGAAGATGGGAGACAAGCCCGTAGAAAAGTATTGGCAGTAGGAGAAAACTAAAATGATAAAGATGAAATAGATCAGAGTAGGTGGGGATCAGGAGAGTTTCGTGTGCTTTTCGAAATGTGTGGGCAGCTGGATGTCCACATTTATAGTTGGCTAGGTCAGAGGGTAATAAACCGTTCTGATTGGTTGCTGATTTTCTGAAGGTTAAACCTTGAGACTGTTCATCTGACTACAAGGTAATTAGATTCAGATTAGAGAAATAAACGTTTCTACTTCCGTAGTCAATGTTTTAAAATGTTATTTTCAAATTTTGGCTACTTCCTTTTAATCTGCGTCTATATATTGCCGATAACTGTTGTCAGCAGCACACACACCACAGTATGAGCTAGTAGCGGCCTTCTAATTGCTTTAATCCGTTCTATGTTTTCCTATGCCTATCACTGATAATACTTCTAAATGTCTTGAACTGGATTATGCGTCAGACTGTAGGGAGCGAGAAGGCAGTAATGCTCGAGACTGATAACAATACTGTAGATTTCGCAGATTTTGTGTAATGCCATACAAACTAGAAGGTCTGCAGGCAAAAAGAAACGAAAAATGGCAGAAGAAGCAGTAAAAACAGTAATTCAAGCGAGATACTCGTAAACTAACAAGAACTGCCAGTCACTATTAACGGAAGAACTTTGAAGGAGTTGACTTATTTCACTTATCTAGGCTGCATCGTTTCAACTACAGGTGACAGCACTAATGAGGATGTTGAAACCACAATCGGAAAGGCAAGATAAACATCCATCACTCTTAAATCAATTTGGAAATCTTCTGCATACAGTCAACATAAACAACAAAATTCTGATTTTCAGCACTAATGTTAAGTCAGTCAGTACTTCTATGCCGTCAGAAATTTGGCACGCTAGTCACCAAAAGCATCTTCAACAGACTACTGCAGACTTTTATCAATAACTGGCTCCCTGCTGAAAATCAGATGACCAGAAGGAATCCTGGGAAAAAACCAATGAAGAACCAGTTGCTCAACAAATATGCAGAAGAAAGATTGCATACACACGCTGAGGAAATCACCGAGTGACATCGTACATCAGGCCCTCCTAGATGGGATGCGACGAGTTAAGTTTCCGAGGGTGACATGGAGAAGGTCATATGAGGAGGAGATCAAGGCTTATGTGCAATTGCGGGGCCAGCTAAAAAGGACCACAAAGAATGGACAAAGTGGTGATTACTGTCGAAGACTTTTTTTCACTCGGAACCCAAAGGAATAATAATAAATAATAATGCTTAACTTTGACAGATGATCAGAATTTCGACACGGAAACTGCATCATCCTACGCCTCAGTTAATTAGCTTCATAGTAATAGTTAGGTGGGTATTATCATTACTATCATTCCCTTGGGTTTCGAGTGGAAAATAGGGCTTCAACAACACATCTCCACTTCCTTCTATTTTCTGCTGTCCTCTTCAACTGGGTCCACGATTGCCCATAACCTCTCATTTCTTCCTCACCACACGATCTCCTCTATGTCACCTTCACATTGACAACCTACTCGTCGCTTCCCATCTGAGAGGGTTTGGTTTGCGATGTCATTTGACGGCCTACTCAACATGCGCC